GAGCTTCTCAGATAAAGCTTGGGTGGTCCATAGCTTCTCAGATAAAGTTTGGGTGGTCCATAGCTTCTCAGATAGAGCTTGGACGATCCGAAGCTTCTCAGATAAAGTTTGGGTGGTCCATAGCTTCTCAGGTAAAGCTTGGACGATCCGAAGCTTCTGGTGGAGAGCTTATAAATCTCCAGAGCGTCTGCTTAAAAATGAACATCAGTAAGTTTAGCGTTAACATAAACAAAGAGACAGGAGATGTTCAAGAATTTCAACTCTTTAAGGAATTAAGAACTCGGCGATAATACTACCTACATAATTCTTCCATGGAAAACTCCATCAATATTTAAACTCTATCAATATTTTCTTTAAGATTAAGATTAATATTTTGATCTCGATTGATATTTGTTTAGAATATTTATTTTTCCCATGGAGAAAGGCTGGTATTTAATTGTCGCGCAGTCACCTTACATTTGACTTTTCCTTTTTCATCCTTAAAGAGTTCAACTCTCTCCAAGCCACCTTCTTTCCATATTCGACAGGAACGATTTGGCTCGCGACTATGCCTGGCCGACCCAACCATAAGCAGTGGACAAAATTTACCACGATCCAATCACTCTTCCAAATGAAATTGGAGGATCTCTCGTCCTAATTAAAATCGAAAGAGAACGAGTAATGGCAATCGCATCACGGGTTACCTGCGATAGACACGTGCCGATCCAGATGGAATAAAAGATGGGGTTGGTGAATATTCCTTGGAAGACATTACGCTGACCGTGGATTTTCCTGGCGTTGAATTCGTTGAAAAGAGTCATCATGACGAACGTGTTGAAGATGACGGTGAAGTGCTGCGTCGGACCGCCGCCAGCCTGCGCTACCCCTCGGCCCGTTTCGATGTCGAGCATCTTATCACCTATCGATCAGACGTTCGTCGTTAGATGGAAGAAGGCTCTTAGCGAATCTCCGTACCCTCGGTCATCTCAAAATCCAAAAAAAAATCGCGCTCGAGATCGATTACACCGAATCCAATCGTAACTTCCAAAGAATGATTTCTTCTACTTTGTCCATAATAAATGACAATAAATGATCTTTCTTTACTATTATTACCTTCGGTAAAGGTTGAAACCCTATGGATCCGTCTATTTCAAGCGTCTACAACTTCCTCTACACCTTTTAACCAGGGACTGTATTCACTCTAACAAGGAGAAGTCGCAACCCTGACTTTGTAATTAGCATAGAGGTAGATAAGAAAATAGTAAAACTAATCCTTTGCACTCGAGGCCTCTTTTTCTGGTATCTACCAGCAACTCGAGATGCTCTCTTAGCATTCTATTGCCACGAATGCTAAGATTATATCAACTTCGAAAATGAGATCTCTAATTTGAGGTTTGAGAATCGGGTCACCTTTGCCTCAACGACAATCATTTTATTGGCACTTCGAGTTCCAAAGAAATTAAACTTAAAGAAAGCCTAGCAGTGACTGAGAGTCACCTTTCGAGTGCAAAGGGCTAATAGTACATACATAGTTTTTGAGGTTAGACTTTCCAATCTTTGTGTGCTAGTAAGCTTGGAAGCTCCAAAGCTTCTGTTCGAAGGCTTAGAAAAATCCAAAGCATCTGTTCGAAGAGTTAGAGAGCTCCAAAGCTTCTGCTCAAAGGCTTAGATAGCTCCAAAGCTTCTGCTCAAAGGCTTAGAGAGCTCCAAAGCTTCTG